AGATCGCCCGGAGCCAGGTGAGAGGCATGGGGTACGCTGGAGGCAGTGAGGTGCAGATCATTTCTCAGCAAGCGAGGTCACCCTAGGAAGGCACTGAAGGATCCTGGCGGAGGAAGGGAGGGGGGTGGACTGCCAGATGAAGGGGGCTTCCTGCTGGGGTGAGGCATGGTGAGAGTCCAGAAAGTTAGTTAGCTGCTGTGATGAACTGGGTTAGCTGAGACCTACCTGAGCTCCCAAAATGAATCCTCGTGTGGGGAACTGGGAATCCACACAGAAATAACAGCCGCTGAGGGGCAGAGCAGCAGGTATGAATGGAGAGGGAAAGGGCTCAGTCTGGGAATGCTTTATAGCTGGAGTTTGGGGTTGAGCCCAGAGAGGTGGAGAGGGTTCCCAAGCAAGTGTGGCAAGCTTGGGACGTGGTGGTGGCAGGAGCAGGGTGATGTGTATACCCGGGACAGATGGCCTGAAGTGGAGGGGATAAAAGACACGGGGCTGGCGTGTCAGGGTTCTCACCTCGCTCACTGAGCACACCTCCTCATGGTGGCCCTGTGCTGGACGCTGGCCCCTGGGAGCACCACAGAGGGACAGGGAAAGGAGGGTGAACCTGGGAGGCGCAGGGAGGAGGTGGAGAGGGAGCCGGCTGGTCTTGGGAGGCCTCCAGAGGGCGTCCGTGGTCCGCGTCTGTCTCTTCAACTCCACGTTCTCTGTCTTCTCTGGACACGCTCTGTTCCACGAATTGTGTTCATGCCCTGACAGTTGGAGGAGCTTCGTCACAGGTGAAGGGGCTGGATTTTAGAAAGAACTTGAGAGGAAGGGCTGCAGATTCTGTGCCCCGGGGCACCACTGAGCAGGACTTGGGAGAGGTAGAAGGTGGGTTGGGTCTGAGATCTCAAATCTGCTCAGCTCCAAGGAGAGCTATGTGTTGATTGAACACGCAGTGAAGGTGTTGGTGGACGGTAAATGGCAGTTGCAGTCAGGAGCACGCAGGTACCTAGTTGATTGGACTCCCATCGGGTTTTCATCATAAAGTGCTTCCTGGTGCCCACGCTTGGGTGTGACACTAGGGGGATGTTCAGATGGGTCTGGCCCCTTCTGGGGGCTCCTGTTGGCTCTGCACTGATCATAGGATTATTCTCTTGTTCACAACCTGTTTGGAGCCCATTGGAGAATGGCCTTCAGAGCTCATGGTATATTCTTTGGTTGTCCTCTCGCTTTAAGATCCTGAAACAGTTGGGCACCTGGGTGGCTCGGTTGGTCGGGCAACTGCCTTCAGCTCGGGTCATGATCCTGGAGTCCCTGGATGGAGTCCCGCATCGGGCTCCCTGCTCTGCGGGGAGTGTACTTCTCCCTCTGACCCTCCCGCCCCCTCATGTGCTCTCTTTCTCTCTCTCTTATTCTCTGTCTCTAATAAATAAAATCTTTAAAAAAAAAAATCCTGAAATGATGAGAGGTTACTTGGTCTCAAAACCGGTATGAATAAGGTTTCTGAGCAGCTGGTGAGTAGAGCAGTGGGGCTGACTTTCCCGGCTGCTTGACCGCTTTCCCCTGCAGCCAGAGTCTACAAGTGATTATTAAGTTTTTGTAGCTTGTAGGCCCTTTCAGAGTCTGGTGGAAACCACAGACCCCTCCCCGCAAAGAAAGCCCATATACATAACTGTTCGTGTGCGACGTGGGCCTTCTCTTACCTCCCTGGAGCCCATCTTTGACTACATTTGTCCAAGCCGTGTGCCTGAGGCCAGCACGTGGGAATGGCTGGAGAAGTTCACGTAGCAAGCCAGAACTGAACTGGATAGTTAGCAAACATCTCACATGTGACTGTGGTTTGGGACTGAGGCAAACTGATCTGTCGTTGGGGTGGAAATTAACGAGAAGATAAGGAACCACTGGTTAAGTCCAAACCGGGTTACAGCCACTTTCACCTCGGGGAGTGGAGATGGCCCTCAGATGGAAGAAACCTTGTGGGAGAGCATGAGGTAGGTGAGCACATGGTGAAGAGAGTCTAGAAGGACCAGTGGCCACGTTGGGCTTCTGGGATGCAGGGGCTCCGCCTGCACGGCCGCCTCACCACCGCGTCCCCTGCTCCCGTTCCAGATCTTGAAGATCCTCACAGGGAAGATAGTGGTGGGCCATGCCATCCACAACGACTTCAAAGCCCTCCAGTACTTCCACCCCAAGTCCCTCACCCGTGACACCTCCCATATACCCCCCCTCAACCGGAAGGCCGACTGCCCGGAGAATGCCACCATGTCCCTGAAGACTCTCACCAAGAAACTTCTGAACCGGGACATCCAGGTAGTGTCTCCCCGGATGCTGCCAGGCCCCCGGCTCAGACCCGGGCGGGGGGAGCTCCTTGCTGCCTCGCTGCAGACTCTAGCCCCAGAATTGCTCTGGGACGTAGATGCAGGCGGCCGCTCTGATAGGAAGAGCTTTGGACAAAAAGCCCAGTAGTTTCTCCGTCTGTAGTAGGGTAATGGTTCCTGTTCTCTGCCTCGCAGAGCATCCCAGGGGGTGCTTGGGAGAGGGAACAGTCTTCAAGTGCATGCAGAACCCAAGCTGGGAAAAGGAGAAAGCACATCGTGGTGCCCTGAAGAGTCCGCAGTGGGCACCTGGGCCTCTTGTGACACGTTTGCACCGGGAGGAGGGCGGCCTGCCTGGCAGGAGGGCGGGTCCACATCATGCCGAAAGAGGTTGTGGAAGTGGGGAAGGTGCCAGACTCGAGACCTGTCAGTGATCTGGAACGTTGTGTTTGCAGAGCGCAGAACGGACCGGGGCGGACAGGAACCCGGGAGTAGACCCCCCCCCGAGTTGTAGCATTGCAGGCAGTAACTCAGCAGCAGCATGTCGGGGGGCCAGGGGGAAGCCAGTCGGGAAGGAAAGAAATGGTCTCTTGTGGCTTCACACTCTTCTCTTCCTCCTGCGTTCAGGTCGGGAAAAGTGGACACTCCTCCGTGGAAGACGCTCAGGCCACCATGGAGCTGTACAAGTTGGTTGAAGTCGAGTGGGAACAGCAGCTGGCCCAGAACCCCCCGAAAGACTAGTGGCAGCAGGGGCGCGGGTGACGTGGGGAGGCAGGGCATGCCGCATGCAGGAGAGCCGGCCGTGGACCCGCGTGCCACCGCAGGCTGCAGTTCTGCCAGCTCGGGGGAGGGAGACAGAGGCTCCGCCCCAGGCTTAATAGTCATTGAAGTTTCACCTCAGGTGTTGTGTCGTGTGTCTGGTTAAGTGTTCCGAGGAAGGAGGAAGCCTCCGCGTCAGAAGCAGCCCTACACTGTTTACCTCTTACACGGTGCTAAGCACAGGTCCCAGGGTGCGGGGCTCCAGCGGGCCTTTGGAGCTTCACGGGGCACCCTGGGCAGTGGAGTTTCCCAAACGGCCTTATCACCGGGAGGCCACAGGTCCCATCGTATGCCTTTTGTTCTCAAGTAATTAGCAGCACCCTCTTTCACTCTCCAAAGTACCCTGGTTGGATGACAGCATATCCCAGACTCAGCTTTTGGCTCAGAATCTCCACCTAGTCTGTGGTGGTCTGTCGCCCATCCTTCCCACCTTGATCTGCAGAGGATCCATCCCTGGGGAGGTTCAGTTCCCCTTCGGGTTACAAGGCAGTAGAAGTAAGAGCGTGACTTGGAAATCAACTTCTCTGGTTTAGCAAAGCAGTCCCTCTCGTAAAGTAATAGAGAATTTATTTAACTTAGGTCCCCCTTGGTAGGTTAAAAAAGAATTTTAAGTGTTTTCATGGTTTTTAGTGTTTTACTTTGTTAAACCAAACCTCTGAAAACTCAAATTATTCCCTCGATAAATGTTTGTAATGGAAGAACAATTGTGTGCTCCTGCTGTTGTTTGAACTTTACATTAAAAAGCTTGGTCACGAGGAGGGGTGCCTGGCTGGCCCAAGGAGAGCATGCAGCTCTTGATCGCGGGAGTTGTGAGTTTAAGCCCCACGCTGGATATAGAGCTTACTTGGGGGGGGAGGAATCTTGTCACGAGGTCTTAGGGGCTGTGATTGCGTGAGGGGTTCCCGGATCTCTGTGGACCCCCATTGCTAGAAGTCACGGAGAAGCACTGACCAAGCCTTTGTGTGCAGCCCACGTGCTCTGCTGCCTTGTCCTATCCCTGTCACAAACCGAGCACACCTAAAATGATGCCCCAAACCACTCAGACACCTTCACAGGGGAGGGTATGTGACCAGCAGCGTGATTCAGAGTGGGCATGCAGGAGGGACGGGGCAAGGGAGGGCAGGGTGCTTGGTGACGCCAGCGTGGTTGGTCCTGCCAGCTCTTCCTGGGTGGCACACACCCTCATCTTGGGAAGGTGAGTCACAGGTCTGACCTTGAGTCTGGCACCACTGTGCGTGCCGCATCTTGAGAGAATGCAGCCTCCGTGTCCGCACCGGGACTTGTGCCCTCTGGAGTGGCGGGTTTGGCTCCAGGGGCAGTGCTAGAGCCACGGCAGCTGGTTGCAGGGAGGTTCCTGCAGCCAGACCGGACCTCGGCCGTGGCCTTGCGGTCCTGTCCTGTGCTCAGGATCTGCTTGCACAGGCAGCTGCCGGGCTCTGAGCAAGTTGGTTCCTGCTGAGCCTGACATGAGGAATGCCCCTGACACTTCGGAGAGGTGCCAGGCGCCCTCACACACCTCTAGGTGGGAATGATCCAGGAGGGCCGCACCCAGGACGGGGAATACACATGAAAGCAAGGCTGAGTTACGTTGTAATCAGTAATGGGAGATAGCTGGGAAAATCTCATTCGAGGTCAGCTTTGAGGGTGCGTCTTGGTAACTAGTCGGCGGCTCTGATTCCCCCCTTACTCTCCCCCCCCACACCCATGTCCTGAAAGGCACCTGGTCTTGGTGCAGGGCCAGAAGGAGCGGGCTTCTGCTCAACAGGCAAAACCTGGAGGCCCAGAGGACCTTGCAACCATTTCCTCACTGTTGCCTCTCATTCTTCCTGGTTAGAGCCCAGCTCGCCCTGCAAGGCTGCCTGGGGCCCCTTTTACTCAAGTTCCCTTCCTTTTCTGACTCTCTGTTCCCAGGGTCCTGGCTTCCTCTGAGGGTGGCCGGCCCCCTTGCAGATTGCCGCCTGAATCCTAATCAAGTTTTGCCTGAACGCCGGTCCTGCGTCCTTTGGACGGAGCATGCGCAGGACAAAACACATGGTCTTCTGATGATACTCTTCACAGGGGAGGGAGGTGTTGTGATTCAGAGATTCAGAGACCGCTCTGCAGGTGGGCTCAGGAAGAGGCAAGGCTCATGAGAGATGTATCCTGCCGGACATCTCGGCAGTCTGAAACTTCATTGAACAAAGTGATTCTCAACAGGGGTGGTGGGGGCAGGGTTTGTAGAAGTTTTGGGTGGTGGCACTGCCCTCCCCCGATCGCCACAGCAAGCCTGCAAGGAGGAGTCATTTGATTCCTGGTTTAACAGATGATCACAGCCGACAATAGGAAGTTCAACAGTGCTGTAATTAGGAACTTGCCCCAAGGCACAGGAGCCCGAGTTCAAGTTTAGAGAGACAACTACCCAGGGAAGAAACCTGCCAGGTGCGTCCTCTGTCTGCAGCGTGCATGCGGCTCCCGCGTGCGGCTCCCACAGCGCTTCGGTTCACCCCGCGCCGTGGAGCAGGTGACCTTGTCACCACGGTTGGAGTTGGATTCTGCCCCCTAGTAAATGTGTGGCGCTTTACTTCTTGGGGCTCTAGGGTTCCAGCCTTAAAACCCTGGGGCTCTTTTCTACCCTTGATGTTAATGGTTGCTGCGGATAACGTTTTTTGAGGGCATTTGTGGGTCAGGCACTGTGCTTGGTCCTCCGGGTGCACGGTGCTGCTTTTCTTACGTGACAGGTGAAGAAGCCTAGGTTGACAAAAGATAAGAAATCTTGCCCAGGCCCAGTAGCCGGTCTGCGGCCTGCGAGTGGGAAGACTCTGCTCCTCACTGCCTCCCTACTTGGCTGTTGACCCAGCCCCACGGCCTCGGAGCCGAAGTGGAATCCTCCCACTTGGACGCTGCTGACGCACCTGCTTTGTGCTAGGTGTGGAGCTAGACACTAGGGAAGTGGCTTGGTCTTTGTCCACTAGTTGCTTACCATCTGACAAAGGGAAACCAGCAGACGGATTTCAGTGCGCTGGGGCCGGTGCTGTCCAGGCCCACAGCGGGATTTAAAGTCGGAGAGCACTGTGAAGATAATGCTGGCCGCCGAGTGGAAGGCGGATTGGAGATGGGCCGGGAGATGAGTTCTGCTCGAACAATTTGGGTGAGCATGGACGGAGAGCTCAATCAGTGAAGTGGGAGTTCGCATATGAGCATCCCCGAGGAGGGACAATCAACAAGGCCTAGAGATCAGGGCAGGAGGATTAAAGGTGGTCTTAATATTTCTGACGTGCGCGGAATAGACCGAGTGCTGTCATTCACCAACAGAGAGAGCGACCCACAGAAGAGTGGGTTTCCGAGGAAGCTGACTCGGATGGACTTGGAGCTGCCTGCAGCTTAGCAGGTGAGAGGCCTGGGGCTGGCGGCTCAGAGACGACAGGGCAGCAGTGGGGGAGCCTTGGATGGGGAGGAGGGTTTCCTGTAGGAAGGTGTGTACAAAAGAGCACAAGGTCGAGATCAGAGGCTTGGGAACGCCCTTCTTACAAGCTTGGAAGGAGGCCTGACGGAGGCTGCCAGGGGCCAGAGGGCGACAGAAGAGTCTCTCCAGGAAGGAAGGGGTAGTATCTGACACCACGGAGAGGGCCAGTAAGATGAGAGCCAGGGAAGGGGCCTGGTTTGGTAGAAATTAGGTGCCTTTCATCTGCGCAGTGTCTGTGGTGGGGGCGGGGTGACAGAAGCTCATCCGAGGTGGGCTGCGGAATATATTGGAGGTGGTGTGCACCGCTCCCCGGAGCTCTGGAGAGGGGCCAGTGAGGGCCACGGTAGGAATGAGGGGTCTGAAGATGCTGCTGGCAAAGCTGTCGACCACAGGTGGCTGAGATGGATGCTACAGTGGGTCCCAAAAGATTGGGGGGATGAGTTGAACCTTGGCCAACAATAGGGACTCTTCTGGGACCGAAAGGAGCAGGGAAAGTGTGGAGCAGATGGGTATGTTTCTGGGCCCGCACCTGGTGACCTGGATTGCTCATGAAATCGGAGCAGGTATGAGCCAGAAGCCAGGGGACAGAGAAGTTGGGAGCAGCCGCAGAGGCAGGAGAACGGGCTGATGGAGGACACGCGGAGGGCAGAGGTCCTGACTGAGGTCAGAACCTGGGTTTGCAGCGGTGCTGCAAGCTGGCTGTCAGGTCTTTTCTGGCCTTATTTGGCAGCCCAAATATAGAAGGGGAGAGTTTACATGGTTGGGGTGAGGGGAGGATGGGGTGTGCTGGAGTCCATGGACTTGCAGCCCTGAGAGGCTAAGCTGTTGAAGGAGGGTCGGAGACTGCTGGTGGCCAGCCACAGGCTTAGAGACCCTGGAAGGGTGAGCGTGAGCTGGATCCGCAGGGACCCGGGCAGGTGCAGCAACAAGCACCTGGCGTTTCTTTTTTTTTTTTTTTTTTTTAAGATTTTATTTGAGAGAGAGAGAATGACAGATAGAAAGCACGAGAGGGAAGAGGGTCAGAGGGAGAAGCAGACTCCCCGCTGAGCAGGGAGCCCGATGTGGGACTCGATCCCGGGACTCCAGGATCATGACCTGAGCCGAAGGCAGTTGCTCAACCAACTGAGCCACCCAGGCGCCCACACCTGGCGTTTCTAAGAAGGGGGCTGAGGTGTCGCCGAGGAGCATGCAGAATCCTGACCTCTCCCGGCCAGGGAAGGGCCAGTCTCGTTTGCAGACCTGATTTTTGCGCAGTACCTCTTTCATGCACCTATCCAGGACAGTTAAATAAATTATTAAATCAAGAAAAAGGACTGGGGCACCTGGGTGGCTCAGTCGGTTGAGCGTCTGCCTTTGACTCAGATCATGATCCCGGAGTCCTAGGATCGAGTCCCACATCGGGTTCCCTGCTCAGCGGGGAGTCTGCTTCTCCCCCTCTCTCTGCTGCTCCCCCACCCACTTGTGTGCGTGTGCGCGCTCTCTCTCAAATAAAAAGTCTTAAAAAGAACAAAAGTACTAACGAAAGGTACAATCATTTATTTCTTTGAGCCTCACAGTCACTGATTTTGGCTGAAGTCATGTGTTTACTTTTCATTTTTTTGTTCCAGAAACAGTTACCAGCCATTGCCAGACACTGTTGTAGGCCTGGCAAATCTACGGGGGCTCCCTTGCAGTGGGGGCTGATGAGTGCTATGAAGGACAATAAGGAGGCAGGCAGATACACGTGCACATAGGACTGTTGATGGGCTGTTGAGAGAAGACCTCTGTGAAGGCAGGACATTTGAGCAGAGGCCTGAACAAAGTGAGGAAACCCATCATGTAAACATCTGGGGAAGAACGTTCCAGAGAAAGTGAGAGGTGCAAGGGCCCTGAGGCAGGTGTACACTTGGCGTATTCAGGAGCAGCAAGGCCAGTGTTGCTGGAGCAGAGTGAGCCAAGGGGAAAGGGGTAGGAATGGGGTCAGTGAGCAGGGGAGATGTAAGCAGAAACTGCAGAGCCTCTAGACCGTTGGAAAGACTCGGCTTCTATCCGCACAAGATGGGAGCCACTGCAGGGTTTTGAGCAAAGGAGTGCTTTGAACTGACTTAGGGTATAAATGATGCCCCCCTCCCCTCCCCGGGCTGCTGTGAAGGGAGAGAATGGGGGTGGAGAGGACCATGGAGCTCTTGCTCTATGGGCAAGAGATGCTGGGAGCCCGGGCAGTGGAAGTGGTAAGTGGCCTAATTTGGGACAGATAGGCTTCCCACACATGGATGACCTTTGGTGGGGCTGATCCTGAGCAAGTGCTTATTTTATTTCCTTTCATTTCTTTTCTTGAGTAAGCTCTACATCCAACATGGGGCTCGAACTCACGACCCCAAGATCAAGAGTAGCATGCTCTTCTGCCTGAGCCTGCCAGGCACCCCCTGAACAAATGTCTAAATTAAAGCTGACATCTCGGCCTTTGAACTCTCATCTGAGCTCTACACACGGCCCATCCATCACGGAGCGCTCAGCGAGCGCTCGAACCCTCAGGGGTCAGGACCCAGTGTGGTCAGGGGTGGGGATTGGCTGCAGCCTCTGGGCAGACAGATTGTGAGATCTCTTCCAGACAGTGATGAAATGGGTAAGGGACATCGAGTGGCATGGTGAGCCGGGCTTCCTCCCCAAGACCCTGGCTGCCCAAGCTGCGCACCTTCGGAGCCCCTGCTCAGGTCTTGCCCCCTCTCTCTGACCCCACCACTCAGCTGGGCTTGCTTGCTTTCTTTAATATGTATGCTTTCTAGCGTCGCTCAGGGACACCACCAACTCTGGGCTTTCTTTCAAAGGGTTTATGTGACACGTGGGATTTTGAGAGAGGTGGGGGTAGGGGGAGAGGCAGGGAGAGAGGAGGTAGTTTTAAGAATTTGGCCAGGAAAGATAAACACCTTAATCGTCTTCCAGGCTCAACCAAATTCCATTCTGAAGGGTTTAAGAGCAAAGCTTTGGAATCAGCCAGACTGGAGGCAGCACAGGGGCGGCTCTCTCGTCCCTCCCGGCCAGGCCTGCCACCCTGCTCCCCGTCACAGCTCCGAGCAGCTGCAGGCAGCCCTCGGCCAGGGCAGCTTCCCCCAAGGAAGGGTCGGTCTGGTCTCATCCCCGTCTACCCTATGGAATCCTGTCCGGTTGCTTTTCTGGAAAGAGGCCATGAGACGGATCCAACCATAACCAAAGGAGGAAGAAGGGGGACTGCCCCTGCCCTGGAGCCCGGGAGGGAGATGGAGCCCACACCCAGGACCCAGAGGGAGGCAGACGCAGATAATCCAGCCTGGCAGCTCGAGGCCGGGGCTAGGGCTCAGGGCTGGGCTGGGAGAGTGGGTAGGTCCGGGAAGCTTCCCTGAAGGGGTGAGCGGGTGGAGCTGCCAAGGGAGCAAAGGGACCTTTGGAGAAAGGGCTGAGTGTTCCAGTGGCTTCCTCCTAGGCTAGGACCGCCCCCCTCCTCCACACCCTCCAGCCAAGGCACAGAGTGCCTCCTCTGGGCTCTCCTGGAGGCCTGGAGGCCTGGAGGCCTATCCCCAGGAGGTCTGGGAGCTCAAAAGAGGGGATTTGGCCCACAGAGACCACACTACCCACAAGCAGCGAGAAAGGCCTGCGAGTGTCCAGGACCCAGGCTGGCTCCCTCTCTGGGCCCGTGCCTGCGAGCTCAGCGGGAAGACAGGCCCACCAGAAGTCCAGCTCATATGGAGACCTGGAATGCTGAGGCTGACAGTCCCAGAGCTCGGGGCTTTAGGAGGCAGGAGACTCCGAAATCCAGGAGACCCTGGCTGGCTGCTTTGATCCCCCAGGGACAGGGACGTGCCCCTGCGGATCCCTGAGTGCCAAAACTCCCCCTTGGATGTCCCGCCAAGTTGGTCCCAGGCAGGCGGCTTGGGCAGCCAGGGCCTTGGGAGGAAGCCAGGCTCACCCTGCCACTCGATGCCCCAGGTTGGTGGAGGAGATGCAGGCAGGGCAGGTGGGGCTTCGGCAGGGCAGCCTGGCCGAGATTTTCAGGCTCCAGCCCCAGGCCCTCTGGGAATCCGGGCAGGCCGGGGGCCCCTGGCGGACGGGGTGGGCCGGGGGCAGCCGGAGACTGTTCAGTCTCTCTTTGACAGCTAACATTTTCCAGAGCCGGCGCCCGCAGGAGAAAGGAAATCAGAGCTTCCCACCTCACACATCTTTTTCCCATTTTGTTCATGCTACCCAGGGAAAGCCATTAGGGCTAGGTCAGTCTGGGGCCTCCCCCGCCACCACCACCTATCTCTCTAGCTGGCTCTAAGGAGGGGCAGGGATGGGAGGGGAGGGTCACTGGAAGGACAAGGCTCTAGCCTGCAAAGGAGCCTGACCCTGAACTCTTGTCTCCCCTAATTCCCTGCCCACTGAAGATGGGGGTGTGGGGGCAGGGACCCGAAGCCAGGCTTCTGAGGCCCTCCCTCACTCAGCTCAAATCCCCTGCACCCCTGGGTCTGTCTCTAGGGAGTCTGGCCCACTGGCCCTAAGGAACCAGGAGCTGGGGCCTGGTCTGCAGCAGGAAGGCCCTGGGGTTGGGGGAGCCTAACAGGGGCTCTGGCCTCCTCCCTGAAGCCAGGCGGGGGCCTAGATGGCTGGGTATCATGGTCTGGAGGCGTGCTGCACTGGGAGCACCGAGGAGCCTGGAGGAGGACTCCTCCCTGAGCTGACTGACCTCCTTCCTGAGGTTGAGCCATCCGCTCCTGTTGTCCTGCCCCTGCTCCCAGGGACCATGAGTCCAGTGCCCTCGTTCTAGCCTCGTCCAGTACCTCAGAGCCCCCTGTCTCTTCTCTGGGAACCTTGCCCTTCTCCCCTCCCCCCTGCCCCTTTCCTCTTCAATCCCGGAGTTCACTTCTCTGGCCCGGTGCCCACCCTCTGCACTTCAGGCCGGAGAGGGAGCAGAGCACCCACCCAGTCTGCAGCCCTGCTGACTTCTGTCTTCTGCCAGAAACCCCAGATCATCTCAATGGGGAGAGGGATTCCCTGGACCGCTGGCTTTTCTTCAGTTTCCCTTCCTCAGGGAGCAGGAGAGGAGGCATCTGGGAGATGGTTTGGGCTCCCCAGAACAGGTCCTGGGCTAGGTTGCAGGCTGTCCCTCTTTTCCAGGGCTGGCCACTGTCCCCAGGTACCCTGCAAACCCAGGTGTTCAGCCTGCCAAACTTGTCCGGCCATCCCTTTCCTGCCCCGGGCTGCCAGGGGTTAAGGGACCAGAGCAGGGCAGGGGGTGGGAATGGCAGAGGGGTCTGGCCCCAGTCACTGGCTCATAAAAGCCAAGAGGAGTTTAACTGCAGGTCAGGGTGCTGCCTGCCTTCCCCATCCGGAGGGCCGCCCGGGGGGGGGGGGGGGGGGGAGTCCTTCAGGAGGGGAAATGGGGGCCAGGGCTGGCCAGGATCAGGGCCAGGCCCGTCCAGCTTCAGATGCTGGCCGTTGCCATCAACAGTGCCAGCCACACTGGATTCCCGCCTCTACCTCGGAGGTTCTCTAGAAAGCAGGACTCCAGAGTAAGGGAGCCAGATGTTGGTGCCTGTCCCTGCAGCAGGCTAGGGAGACGGGCCGTAGGGTTGGCGGGACAAGAGACCGTGCCCTCTGCCAGGCCAGCAGGGAACACCAGTCCGGGTGCTGGAACCAAGGCAGGGGGACAGAGGAGCAAGCACCCCGGGGTCAAAGAGCAAGAGCAGTGTGCCGGCTGCCCGTGGGCAGGGTCTCCAGGTGTTTCCACGGCTGCCCGCCCCCCCCCCCGTGCTGCCCCCTGAAGAGGCTAGCAGAGCCAGGGGCCTCTCTCGGGGGCCAAGACTCAGTCTGGACACGTCCTCAGCCAGTGCGTCCACACCTCGTCCCTCCCGCCTGCCCAGCTTGGCATGCCCGGCCCAGCCCCGAGGAGAGCGTTGGCAGCTGGGAACCAGGTAGCAGAGCCAAGAACAACAGAGGAGCCAGCCGCCTGGCTGCCTGGGTGCTGCAAAGACCCTGGCCTGCTCTGTGATTTCTCCTGGAGCCGGCAGCCTTCCTCCCACCCGAGCTTCTGACCCTGCCCGGCCACCCCTGCCTCCTTCACCGAGGCCTGGGGCTGGCCCTGGAGGTCCCAGCCACCCCCTTCTTTCCGGTCCAGCTGCACCCTTCGAGTCACTCAGGATTCCCTGCCTTCACCTTCCCTAGCTTGGAGGGACTCTGCCTGCTTTCCAGGTCCCTGACCCGGTCTCCCAGCCGGCGGGAAGCCCTATTCCCTGCTCTAACAGCAATCTGATGTGGGAAGAATCCAGACCGGGCCTTACCAGATTTGAAAAGGGCTGGGTCCTTGAGCCCAGGCAGACAGACAAGAATGGAACATTCCCCTCTGTACTGAGGGTCAGACCAGACCAGGAGGCAGGATGCTTGAGTTCACACTGCGCCCCGCATGGGATCCTGAGGGCTTGGGGACCAGGGGACACCACTGTCCCGCCCCAGGCACTCCTAGCTCCTTTATTCTACTCTCAGACCCGCCCCCTGCCCCGGCAGAACTGCTGCCTGTTCTGCTGCCCCTCTGCTGAGTGGCAGAGACCCAGTGTCCAGCCTCACCTGGATTTAATTTCTGCAGGACTCCCAGCCAGCAAACTCTGTGACCCAGCAGATGCAATAACACTGCTTGGGGTGAGGCGCTTCTCCAAGTGCTGAACTTGGCCAGAGAATCTCCTTGTCCCTGTTGGGGGGGAGGGGGAGGGGTTCGTGACTCTCCCACTCTCTCCATCCCCAGCTGGGCCGGTGGTCCCTCCTGCCCCATCCTCAGGGCAGTGGCAGAGAGGGGTAGGGGCAGCTCCTCTCTCCCAGCCCCCCCACCCCTCCGTCGTGCACACATCCGCATGCATTCATGCTGATGCTCCTCCACCCAGCCAGAAGCCTGCCCACCTCCATTCCTCCTGCTGCAAAGCCAGCCACTTTCCTCTTAGCCTCACTACCATGGGAACAAAGCCCCAGAAGTTTCCTTGCCTAGCTCTCAGGCCTGTTTCCTCCCTACCCCACCCCCACTCTGCCTCTGCTCCCCCAGAGCAACCAACTCTGCACCTTTCCCCCCAAATGCCTGCGGGAGCCCCCGACAGGGGTATGACCAAGGTTCCTGGAAAGGGAGAATGGGTTGCCCCGGGCTGACCTGCGTCAGGTTTGGTCCTAATGAAAAGGCCAGCGACACTAGGAAATTCCTTCTCATCGATCCTGGCGGGGGAAATTAAAGCCAGTTGTTTGTGACCAGGTGACTGACAGGGGCTAAGCCCCTCCCGGTCGCCTGGCTCCAGGCCTGCTCCCTGCGCCTAGGCTGCCCCATCCCCCACTGTTAGCCTCCTTTCCCATCCCCCAGTCCTCTCTCCCACCCACAGTGTCCCCCAACCCCCCAATCCCCTTCCCCTGCATCTTCCCTAAGCCCCCTCCACTTGCCTGCCCTATGCTCTGGTGGGCAAACAGGGCTTCTGGAAGCTGAGACCTGCTTCCCCGCACCCTGCTCCAGACCCTCTACCCACCTCCCTCAGCCAGGGCTGGGGTGCAGGGGCTGGAGCTCAGGCCCAGAGCTGCCAAACCACAAACACTCACATCTGGAAAAAATTCCCCTCCCGGCTCCACTTCCCTTTGTCTTACTTCTGTCTCTTTGGAACTTCTGGCCGCCAGGCCAGTGGGGGGGAGTGAGGAAGTGAAGAGAGGGGAGTGGGCCCAGACCTCCCTGCCCCCACCCCAGGGAGCCCCCCTTCCAGCCTCCCCAGGATCCTCAGCCAGACCACATCCCCCCTCTGCTCCTGTAGGTCTGGCCTCCTGATGACCGTCTTTTGGGTGAGGTTTTAACATCCTGAGTCACCAGGCTTGCAGGGGAGAGGGCCTGGGCTGGCCCTTCTCTTTTGCAGTAGGAAAGATACCCACTGAGCCAAGGACTGGACCCTTCAGGCTGGGGGCTCAAGAGGGCTGGTGTGGAGAAGGAGGTGGGCAGGTTGACCTGGTGGAAGAGATGGGGGCAGTGAGGCGGAAGGAGGGGTGCCGGGGTTCCTGCCATGGTCCTTCCCCCAAGCCTCTCCTCATCCCTTTGGCTAGGAGCCCGATTTCACTGTCAGAACCTAATCCCCCTCCCTTTACCTACAGCAGCGAGAGCCTCCCCCTGGGGGAGGAACACGGGGTGGGCTGCAAGCACCCCCCCCAGGGGCCACCCCCTTCCCTCTACCACCTCCCACCTCTGCTTTTGTCTGCCCTTCCTCAAAGAGCTCCGACCTGCTGCCCTCCTACTTCCAAAAGCCCAGGCCACCCCCACCCCCACCCCCAGATAAGCCCTCCCACACAAATCCTGAACCCAAAAGCCAGGCTGAAGCATCCAGCTCCCTTCTGCAAACCTAACAGGTGATCGCCTCCCCCTGCGGTGGTGGTGGTGGGGGGGGGGGCATCGAGTCCCTTCTATCATAGCACCTCCCTCCCTCCCGCTCAGGGGCACCCGAGCTGCTTTCCTGTTTCAATACATGCATTATTCAGAGATTTCCCTCTTTACAGCGCAGAGGCTCCAGCCTTCTCCAGTCTTTGGTGAAGCCTCCAGCCCCTCTGCTTTGGCTCTGTTCTTCCGACGCCTCCCCAGCCAATGCCCCCAGCCCGCTAGACCGTTCCAGGGCTCTAACGAAAAGGGTTCAGGACCTCAGTGAGCCTGTCCTCTGCCCCTCCCGCGGCCACGCTGGCGGGGAGGGGCCAGCGCTAGGACCAGATGTGGGGTTTTTCCTGCCCGCCTTGCGAGGAGCTGGGAGCGCAGTCCCGGGCGGCGGTGGGGGGGTTGGGGGGGGCGGTGCAGGCAGCGGGGCCACGTGCACGCCTTCGCCGAGGGCCGCTGGGCCGCAGCAACCGTGAGCTACGCCGGGCCCGGTTGGCCTCGGATCTCCCGGCCAGTCTCCGGGGCTCCCCACTTGACCTCTGGGTTTCAGGCTCCCAGCCCTCCCCACAGGGGTCTTGGCGGGGAGCTGGGCCCTGCCCCCTCCTTTGATCTCCCGCTTCGAAGCCGCTGGCGGAGGGGCGGCCCGCTCCTTCCGCCCGTTGGAAGGCGCGGGATGGTGACACCCGAGACCCCGCTCCACCCCTTCCCGGGGCACCCAGTCTCCCTCCAACCTGGGTGGCAGCGCGGCGCGCCGGGGCTCCAGGCCTCCGTCCCCGCCTCCCCTCCCTGCCGCCTGCTGCGATCCCCTGGGGGTTCGGGGAGCCAGGCGACGGAGAAAGCGCCTTAATAAAGAGCTCGTGTCAAGTGATTGGCAGTGACCTCTGCCCCCCGCCCCAGCCTCGCGCCCGGGGCTCCTGCTTAACCCTTCGATGACCGCCCAGCTCATTAAGAGGAAGGAGTCTCTCCGCGCCAACGTCCTGAGTCCCCCGGCACTGCGGCAGCCCTGAATCCCGGGGAGGCGGGCGCGGGTAGGGGGGCCGCTCCCTCCCACCCCCTCGAGCCTCTCCAGCAGGGGGCGCCGTTGCCCCACTTGGGTGCCTGGCCCAGCCACCCCGGGTCTCCCCGGCCGCTCTGTGAGCTCGGGGCGGTCACGCTGGACCCAGTTCAGGGCTCGGTGGAGCCGAGCCCGGCCGCCCGCCTCTTCCCTAGCGCCGGCTCGGAGCGGGGTTCGCCCGCTGGTAGTGTCGCCGGGTGTCCGGCGCCAAGGAGTCGAACGCACCGAGTCAGGTTGAGGAGCGGCCCCGGGGACCAAGCCAGCCGTGACCCTGGGGACGTGAGACCTGAGTATCTGCGCCCCGGGCCCGGCGCCCCCTCCTCTCGGCGGAGAGCCCAATCCGAGCGCTCGCCCCGTGTCGCCTCCCCAGCCACCCCTCGCGCGGGAGCCAGCTGCCTCGGCCCCCCGCTAGCCCCGGACCCGCCCACGGGGGGGCAGATCCAGAGGCGGCGGAAAGGGGGCTCAGGGCCCCCCAGGTGGGGTGGGGGGCGGGGCGGGAGGCGGGGCCATCTCTCTCTCTCTCTCTCTCCCCCTCTCTCTCTCTCTTTCTCTTGGGCAGGGGCGGGCCCCGCTCAGGGTATAAAGCTGCCCGCGCGGGAGCCCAAGCCAGCTCTGGGGTTGTCCTGAGACGTGTCCTGTCCTGAGTCCCACGACCAGGCGAAGGCGACCGCGACATCTCTTTTGACTAAAAGACTCAGCGTCCAGTGCTCCACCCAAAGCATCTAAGGGGATCGCCCCTCGCGCCTCCATCATGCCCAACTTCTCCGGCAACTGGAAGATCATCCGATCGGAAAACTTCGAGGATTTGCTCAAAGTGCTGGGTAAGGAGATTTTCGAGCTCCCGGGGAGCCAAGGGCGGCACCGGAGTCCTCCCGCAGGAGAAAGAAAGCAGGGTGGGGGTCAAGGCGCGGGAGGTTGGGTGTCTGCATCCCCAAGGAAAGGGGCCGAACGCTTGCATGGGGGGCTCGGGGCTCGGACGTTTAGATCCTTTCTCCAGCGGGGCGTGCCCCCCATGCCAGTTCCTGCAGTGACCAGCCTGTGAACCAAGTAGAAACCAGAAGCACGAGGTCGGTATCCCTGGGGGTGGGGCCGGGAGCTCTGGGCAGTTCAGAAGCAGCCAGAATCCAGGCTGGGGTCCTGGGTCCTTACTCAGCCAGCCCCTCGGAGCCGTTCCACCCTCTTTGCCCCCACCCCGACAGCCAGTAGCCCAGCTCGGGGCACGTTCCTTACCCCCCTGCGCCCGGCTCCCCCCCCCCGGGGATCCCCCCCCCCCCCCCCCCACCCCCGCTCTCACGGTTGCCCCTTCCCTCCCCGTTTAGCACTTTCCATGCTGTGCCCCCACCCTCCATCTGTGACACAAATATTTTCCTACAGCGGGCAGCTCCAAAGTCCTCAGTCGCTCTGGATAATTATCACTTTCTTAGATTTCAACAAATGGTTTCGTGTGAAACCCCAACCCCCCATTTCCGAAAATCCCAGTTGTTGTCTCCCTCCCCCACCCCAGACCTGCTGCAGCCCAGCTAGGTGTGTTGGTTAAAGGTGGGGGAGAGTTAAACCTCCTCCAACTCCCTTTCCCAACTCGGTGTGCCCTCTGGTGTGCGGGCAGAGGTAGAGAGTGGGACTGCCGGGAGGGGCTCTGGGAAGAGAGGGAGGTGAGTTAAGGGCCTCAGCAATCGGGAAGCACGCCCCTCCCCCCAGGAGCCCTGCAGCCCTGGATTTCTGGACTGAACACGGTGACTCCCCCTTGAGTGGGGGGAGGCGGGAGGCACACCTTGTGCAGGGTGGGGTGTAGGATTGAGTCTGGACCTGGGAAGGGTCTGGAATGCTGTGTTTCCATATTCCTTGCCATTAGTTCTTTCGTCTAACCACAAGATTCCTTCAAGCCCTGTCTTTCCCTCTCTGCCCTTGCTGCAGTTAAACTCCAAAACATTTTCCCTTTGGAAAGCCTAGATGCCATTCCCTCCCCACCTCTGGACTCTGGCCCCTCTCCCCAGTGGATGAAGCAGGAGGTGGCCCGGCACACCCACAGGCCCAGCTGGAGAATAAGAGCCAAAGCCCAGTCCTGTTGTCTGTCTGTCTTTGGTCTGTTTGTCCTCCCTGCGGGGTCTCTCCGAGCCACGTGCCCTCCTCAGGCCCTGCTGGGGGCAGATTAAAAACAGACCCATTAGACAAACAGCCCTGGCTGGAGTGGCATCTCCTTGGAACCCAGCCCTGCCCCTGCACGAACCTCGGCCCCTCCTTGCCCCCTCTGCCCAAGTCGAGTATCCCTCTCCTGGTGAGGAATGCTCAGGTGTTTGGGAAATACCTGTCCCACCCACTGTGGTAGGCAGGGTGCATGAGCAGGTTCTGCTCCTGTAACAGGAAAGATGAAAAAGTTAGGCAGTATCAGATGGACTTCTAGGGGAGGATGGGGTGGGGTGTGTCTGCTCTGCCAAGGCCACTGGATCTGAGAACCTCTCCCTGGACCCAGGAGATCAACAGCCCAGAAGGGGGTTCCTGGTGCTGCTGGGGGTGTCCTCCTGCTCTCCCGCTCCCTTCTTTCTGGAACAGAGTGAGTCTGTTTCAGTGCCAAGGGAAAAGAGGATTTGTTTCTCTAGGAACCCAGGTCTGGAGGAGGGCCAGGGCCAGGGAGTCCTCTTGCCCGACCCAGCCCTGCTTGGCCCCCTCACCCCCACCCATTGCTTCCCTGAGGGTCTCTGCTCCAGTTGCGGGAGGGGGGGCACCAGGCAGGTGAAAGTGGGCTGATGATGCTTAGACCTGGCCCCGGCCAGAAAGACCTTCCTGCCTGCTTGTCTTCTTCCTCTCCTGGCTTCCCACCCTTCCTCATGACTGGGAAGCTAAGAGGGGCCTAGTTTGGGGAAGGATGTGGGGCACAGGCCCAGGGACTCTGAATCCACAGAGCCTGAACAAGACCTGACCACCTGAGTTCAGGGTGATCCTAGAGTAGGGAACATACTGGCGGGGGGGATGGGGTCCCTGTCTGTCCCTTGAGGGGAGAAGGGCACGGGAGCCCGCCAGGAGGCCGGGCAAGCAAGGGTCTGATGCAGGGAACTTTGAGCCTCAGCTCTGGCTTTTTCTTTGATTTCCTTTTCCCAGTAAAAATAATAGCAGCTGTAAGAAGAGGTGTGCCTAGTGCTGTGTTTCTCAGTCCCACACGCGCCACCCATTTGCCCAGGGTCACCTGGCCTGCAAGGGAGGCTGAGCCAGATGGACGTCAGGGTCCAGTGGATCTTCCTGCAGAGCCTCTGGCTTCCCCAGGCTGGGGCCATTCTGTAGAGGGGAACAGCACCCCAGCTCATCACCTGCTGAGAGTCCCTGCTCCTCGCTGGGGAGAGGGACGGCGATGGGGTAAAGGAAGGTCGAGGTAGCACCAGACAGGGGAGGTGCATAAGGCAGAAAGCAGAACGAGCCCTAACTTCCGGAATGGGAGTGGTGAGGCCTGGCCGGGGAGGGTCTGGCCTGCTCTTGGCCTGGGGTGAAGACACCGTGACTCTGACGGGTCCACCCCCGCAGAGGGTCGCAAGCAGGGTGGAGAAAGGGCCACAAATGAGGTGAACTGGGCCAAGGTGAGGATGCCTGCTGGGTGAGGGGAGTGGGGGGAGGCTGCCCCCGAGAACGCTGGGGTCCAGGCCTACTGGTCAGCAAGGTGGGACCCCGCTGGGTTGCTGCTGCTTTGCCCAAGCTGGGCCCTGGGGAGGGGTGAGGCAGCGGCCCGGAGCGCCCTTGAAGGCGAGCCTCCCTGCTCTCCCTGCAGGGGTGAATGTGATGCTGAGGAAGATTGCCGTTGCTGCAGCGTCCAAGCCGGCCGTGGAGATCAAACAGGAGGGAGATACTTTCTACATCAAAACCTCCACCACGGTGCGCACCACGGAGATTAACTTCAAGATCGGAGAAGAGTTTGAGGAGCAGACTGTGGATGGCAGGCCCTGTAAGGTGAGTCCCCTCGGGGTCACGGCGTCCACTGCCCGGCCATTGTCCAGTCTTTTCCTGGATTCTCGGCTCCACTCCTAGTGGAGAAAGTGCCCCTCTCTCGCTGCTGCGGGGCCCCGCTCATGTGGCCTCTCTCTTGCAGAGCCTGGTGAACTGGGAGAGTGAGAACAAAATGGTCTGCGAGCAGAGGCTTCTGAAGGGAGAGGGCCCCAAGACCTCCTGGACCAGGGAGCTGACCAATGACGGGGAGCTGGTCCTGGTAAGTCCTTCCTCCTACCAGCCCAGCGCCGCATTCAGGGGTTTTCTGGGACACTCCAGGGCGCAGGAGGTTCAAGATCAACTGGACTGGTCCCCCGCCTCCCGAGGGGGCTGCTGGGCCGGACAGTGCCACTCTGTGACCAGGACCTGGTCCTCCGCGTGGAGCGGATGCACACCGAGACGCCCAGCGTTCCTCTGGGCAAGGACCCTCCTGGCCTGGGGAGGAGGGTGGAGGACAGAGCCCTGGGGCTCTACCGCCGTCCTCCTTCCTGTGACACCAGGGCATGTGGGGACCAGCTCCTGCCTGTTGGTCCTGAATCTAGAAGTAGGTTTGGTCTCCGAAGCCACAGGGACCACGAGCCTTCCAGGTTAATGATGACTTCTGACTTGTGTCGTTCCAGACCATGACGGCGGATGATATCGTGTGCACCAGGGTCTATGTCCGAGAGTGAGCAGCTGTGGGTCCAAGAGCTGCCAGAGCCCCCTAGCCCACCCTTCCACGCTCCCTGCCTCCCTGCCCCTCCCCCATTCCTTCTAGGCTAGCTCTTCCCTCACTCCCCTCCTCACCCCTCACTCCTGGGGGTGCTGGGATGCCTCCAGCCGGGCTCGGGTTGGACGACAAGAGCCCAGATCACCCTTTCCAGAATCACTTCCCCTCCCCAGCCAGCAGTCCTGAACCAGCCCAGAGCACAGCCTCTCTTTCTGGGAGGGGACCTGAGGGCCCCAGTGGGAAAGACGGCCCTCTGGCTTCCGCTCTTTGTCCCTGTAGCTGACACAGTGTAGAATATTTATTGGTTAATTTTATTAAAATGTTTAAAAAAATACAACCTGTCTCTGACTCCTTGGGAAGGGGACAGATGAGTTGTCTGAGTTCCACTTTGCCTCTGAAGCATGGTGTGGGAAGCAAGTGTGTCCACAGCAGGACAGTTGGGCCACAGGGAGGGAGGGGCCTTCCCCTCACCCCACTGCCCACGCCTGCAGCCTCCTGCACCGCCCTGGCTCCCAAGGCTAGTCCTGGACTTCTTAGCAGGGGCGCCGGGCTCCGAGGAGCTGACTCCCACCTTCTCCCACACTTTCCTCCAGTGGTTCCTTCTCTCCTCCAACTCCAATCCGTGGGCAACCCCAGGCCTGGCCTTGGCCTCCCACAGGGTTCCAGATGAGCTCACCGATGCCCACGGGCTGGCCTCGCTCCCGCCCGGGTCTCCTGATGAGACTCTGTTCCTTGCCGCCCTCTGGTTCTGAGACACACGACTGTCTTGGCCTTGAGACCTACATACCCCTTCTGCCAGCTTCCCCCCCACCTTCCCACGCCTCCACGCTCAGGTCAAGGCTCCACTGCGTCTTCCCAAGCTCCACGGTCATCTCCAGTGCCTGCCCTCCTTCCGCAGGCCAGGGCCCTCCTCCGGGCCTTCTCCTGGCCCACCTGGTCTCATACCACAGCACCTTGTAACTGGTCTGCCTGGCCTGCTCGTCCGTCTTCATGGCTTTGTGGGGGCAAGTGAGCGCAAGTGTGGGAAGAGAGGTTCCTGCCCTGGTTCTCTCACGTGCTCGTTCCGTGACCTTGGACAAGCTACTCAGTTTCTCCGAGCCTTCGTTCTGTAATCTAATGGCTTGTGTGCTGGGGAGTGTCCGTGGGGGCCAGCCAGACCCAGCCAAGGAGGCCGGTGGCTTCCCTGCCCACCGTCCTGCTCATTTCTGTTTCCTTTGTGCACTGCCCACATTCAACCCTGTCAAACGGAACTCCTCCCTACCTCACGGAAAACTGACTTCAGATGCCCCAAGCTCACGTGCTTCCAGCTTGGGGTCCCCCAGAAGGAGATACTCTCTCCCGGGGTCCATACCTTCGTGCCAGAAGGGGTTTGGTTCTGCGGGGTCACATGACTGTCCTCTGGCCCACTTGCTGTGGACAGGGCGACGGGCCCCGGCGGAGGGAGGGGTGGGGCAGAGCCCCGGAGCACTTCCGCTGTGAGAAGAGTTGCTGTCTCAGATTTCTCATCTATAATCCAGCAACCATATAGAACGTCCACCTCGCAAAGGCACTGTAGCAGTTAAATAAATCTCATTAAGTACACAGCCCTTAGCAATAGTAAGCTCCCACAAAGCCAAGGTCTAACCCCTCTGACCCACCCTCCAAGATGCTGCCAGGGGGCAGGAGGGGGGTGGTCCTTCAGAAAAAAGCTGTATTAGGTCAGGGCCCTGTTCAGAAACAATAAGACAAAACAAAACTCAGCTGCAGCCCCTCTTTTCGTGCAGACTACCGTGCAGACCGGTATTAGCGGCCATTCCAGACGTGGCCCCTAGCCCTTCCTGCATGAGCTCCTCCCCTGCGCATGCCACCTGCTCGCCCAGGGGCACCCAGCGCTTCTCCAGAGCTTGGCTTCTCACCTAGCTAGAAGCGGCCTCTCCCACCGGCAGTGCTGACAGCCACTGGGCTTCACGGCCTGTGTGTGGCAGGTGAGCCTCCTCTCCCTGTGAGACCGGGGTGCCCTGGGGCCAGGCGTCCGGCTCCTGCCCCAGGGAGGCCACGTGCTGCAGCTGAGGGCAGAGGGTCAGGGCCAAGGAGTGGGGGGACAGTGTAAAGAGTCCCGGGGCAAGCCGGTCCCCACTCTGAGTGTGGGGTGGGGGAGATGGGGGGCCCTTTCATGGGTGTAGCCAACTACTGTTTCCCGGGAGTCTCCTGGGAGCTGGGCATCGTGCTGGGTGCTGGGAACGCAGAAATGCATCCCATGGGCAAGATTCCCTGCCCTCCTGGGGCCTGCGGGAGGGCACAGCCCTTTAGTGGGAAGAGATGATGAAACCATAAGTGCACCCCTCAATTCCTGAGTGCATCCCATGCAGGCATTGGAGGGAAAGGGGGCAGAGGGAGGGAGAGAACACCAGGGGAGACCTCGCTTAGGCTGGGGGCGGGCAGCCATGTTAGGAGAACAGGTGTTTGGGAGGACAAAGAACTTCAGGGGGCTTGATGGATGCAGTGGGGTGAAGCAGAGGGGAAGGTACTCTAGGCAGGGAGAACCACAGGGTGAAGGCCCCAAGGGCAGTTCGGGGCTGTCCAAGGTCTGGGGACTGGAGTGCAGGGCAGCGGGGGCCTTTAGGGGCCAGGATGTGCAGAACCTGAAGGGCCTGAGGGCCACAGTCCATATTTCTTATTTGCTTCCAAGAGAAACGATAAGCCACTGAAGGATTTAAAGGGGGCGGCATCCCACATGTGCTTTAGGAGTCCCCTCTGGCTGTCAGGTGAAGATGAATGGAGAAAAGCGGGTGAGGGGGGATGGAGCCAGCAAGCGGCCAGGAGAGGCCTGAGCAGAGGGCGGAAAATCAGGGACGGGGGAGACCAGGTGAGGCAGGAGGCAGGAAGGAGGGATGAGAGAAAGGGGGGTGTCCTGGGTGGCTCTCCGGCTCTGGTCCTGGGGGGGCTGCTTTCAGAAACAGAGAAATAAATCTGGGCTTTCTGGATGCCAGTTTTGTTTGTGTGAATCCAGAAGCGTCCTAACTCCTCAGCCTGAGGCCTGGCTTCATCTCTGTTCTGATCACCTCCTCCCTGACCTCAGCTCCCGCGGTTGCCCATCCAATCTGCTGACTCCCCAGCCCACCCTTCCCACCTTAGCTTGACTCCCATGCCCACCCTGGAAGACCTTTACTCGAGCTCTCCCTGCCCCTTCTCATGCCTTTGCGGCTGGAGCATCTGCTCTTGTTTTTCTGACCAGTTTGTCTCTTTCTAGAATCAAGTTGCTGAGAAGAGAAAAGAGGGATGTGTCTGTTTCCCAAGAAATCCTGGAGGACAGGGGCGGGGTCTCCCCCATCAGACTGGGGGCTCCTGGAGGTTTGGTGCAGGGTCTCCCCCATCAGACTGGGGCTCCCGTAAGGGTGAGGCCCTCCCCCTGGCTCTGTTTCTGTACTCCCCGCCCTCCAGCCTGAGATGACAGGGAAGTTACAGTCCTGGACCCAGGAGATGGGATCAGGGAGGGGCCGCCTCACCCATCTGGCCCAGCCTGGCCCTACCCGTGAGAAAGTCCCTCCAGCTTCCCCTCCCACCCCGAAGGCCGTCTTCCGTTACCTGGGCCTTCATTGCCCAGCAGTGCTTTTAGAAGAAATGCACAGGAGCCCCTATCCCCTGCTTGCAGCCCCAAAATTCTGTGGGCAGAACCTTCTCTCCAGTCAGGCTTCTCAGAGTTCAACCACAGAGGGGGCAGCAGAGGGCCCGGGCCACCGAGCCTCCTCTGGTCCTGAACCGAGGGCCGCTGGGAGGGCCAGAGAAGGCAGGGGGGCAGGGGCAAGGGAGGGGGGTGTGGGACGCTGCCCTGGGGTAGGGTGGCTGCCGCGCACAGCGGGGGCCCCGACCCGCACTGGGACAGCCTGCACCAACATCTTAGGGAAATGGAGGTACACACACACACACTCTCTCTCTCTCTCTCTCTCTCTCTCTCTCTCCCTCTCTCTCTCTCTCTCTCTCTCTCTCTGCAAGAGACAGGAGCTTGGGGCTGAGATTGACCTAGCAACCTCAAAACCAAGAGTCAGGGCACAGCCAGACCGAGGAGAACTAAGCCTGCGGGAACCAGGGCCCCGGGTGCCGAGGAGGCCCCCAGGACCCAAAGGCAGCTCCCTGCCCATGTGTGGCAAGAAGAGCCAAGTTGCAGGAACCCACAGGGGAGGCTGGGCAGGGTGGGCCGAACGCCGGAACCCCTGAGCGTGCTGAGGAGAGGGAGAGGCCTGGCCCAGAGGACGCAGGGCTCAGGGAGGAGGGGGAATCCGGTGCGGAGGGCAGGGTACCGAGGGCCCCAGGAGTGGGAGTCAGAGGAGGGGAGCGTGCTGGTCAGGCCCTCTGACCCCAGGTCCCGACAAAGGGCCGCCTAAGGACCGCCGCAGGCGCAAGATGGATGGCACCGGGGCGGCCAGGCCCTTTGTGGAGGGGGATGAAAGGAAGCAGGCTCCGAGGTCCCCCGGGCCCCCCCCCCATGCCTGTTGGCTCCCCTGCCCCTCCCCCAGTGACCTCAGGGGCCTTGGAGTGTTGGGGGGGGTAGGAAAGGGCGGGGGAGGAGCTGAGTCCAACCAGGTATTTCCCCTGGCTGGGCCCGCCACACCTGGGAAAGATGGGGGGCAGGCAGAAGGACAGTGGGGGCCTGGGCTGCCCTTTGGTCTCTGCAGAAATGGAATCGGTGTGAGTAAGATGCAGTGTCTGTGCCCCCACCAGCGAGGCCCCCAGCAGAGCTGGGTGAGACTGGTTGTGGCGAGGGCAGGGGTCCCCTGGGCGGGCGCTCCCCCCTCTCCTGCAGGCCTGCTGCCCTCCTGACCTCTTGGTTTCTTCCTGTCCCTGCCCTCCTTGGCGCTGCCAGTCGAGAAACCAGTTCTGTGCTTGTGCTGGATAAGGATCTCTGGGCTGGGCTGGGCGCTTCCCAGGCAGCGGCAGGAACCTGGCAGGCCGACAGCACCCCCGCCCCCGGCCAGGGCCGCCGGGGTCTCTGCCACCCCCTTTCCCAGCCTCCTTCCCCTCCAGGGAGACGTCTCCTCCGAGCAGCCTTGTATGGGGCAGGGTGGGCCCCACTTCTCCTCCCCGCCCCCTGCCCCAGGCTCCCCACAGGGCCCTGACAATCGCTCCCCACAGCAGGGTCAGCCCCTGGCCCAGTCACTGGCACGGAAGGGGGCAGGGTGAGACAGGGTTGACCCCACTTAACCCCAGCCCATGGTCTCCTCCTGAACCATCACTCAATCCCAGGACATTCTGGTCCCTTTCTCATCCCCCAGCTCCGCCAACGGGAAGGGACTTTCAAAGGCCATGTCCTCCATTCTTCTGCCTCCTCCTTAAACGTCTGCCTAACCTCTGCCCCTG